AACCCAAAACTCAACAGAAAGACCCCCCCAAACCCCCCCAAAAATCAAAACAGGAACAAAAAACCCCCCCAATCCCCCCTGGAGGGCCGAGGGGCGCTCCCAGTCTCACCAGTTTGCCAGGACGGGGTGCGGAACTGGGAGAGCAGCGACGAGGCCGAGGGGCCGGGCTGGGGACCCCGAGACTCCAGAGCCGAGATCAGATTCATCACCGAGGCGTCGGGAGCCGCGCCACCGGCGTGGTGGAGCCCGGTCTCAAACAGTCCTGACAGACCTGGGGACATCACAGGGGACATTGGGGACATTGGGGACACTGGGGACACTGGGGACATTGGGGACAGAGGGGACATCGGGGACATTGGGGACATTGGGGACAGAGGGGACATCGGGGACATCGGGGACATTGGGGACATTGGGGACATTGGAACCATCGGGGACAGCCCTGTCTCAAACAGTCCTGACAGACCTGGGGACATTGGGGACAGGGGGGACATTGGAACCATCGGGGACAGCCCGGGCTCAAACAGTCCTGACAGACCTGGGGACATTGGGGACAGGGGGGACATTGGAACCATCGGGGACAGCCCGGGCTCAAACAGTCCTGACAGACCTGGGGACATTGGGGACAGGGGGGACATTGGAACCATCGGGGACAGCCCGGGCTCAAACAGTCCTGACAGACCTGGGGACATTGGGGACAGGGGGGACATTGGAACCATCGGGGACAGCCCGGGCTCAAACAGTCCTGACAGACCTGGGGACATTGGGGACAGGGGGGACATTGGAACCATCGGGGACAGCCCGGGCTCAAACAGTCCTGACAGACCTGGGGACATTGGGGACAGGGGGGACATTGGAACCATCGGGGACAGCCCGGGCTCAAACAGTCCTGACAGACCTGGGGACATTGGGGACAGGGGGGACATTGGAACCATCGGGGACAGCCCGGGCTCAAACAGTCCTGACAGACCTGGGGACATTGGGGACAGGGGGGACATTGGAACCATCGGGGACAGCCCGGGCTCAAACAGTCCTGACAGACCTGGGGACATTGGGGACAGGGGGGACATTGGAACCATCGGGGACAGCCCGGGCTCAAACAGTCCTGACAGACCTGGGGACATTGGGGACAGGGGGGACATTGGAACCATCGGGGACAGCCCGGGCTCAAACAGTCCTGACAGACCTGGGGACATTGGGGACAGGGGGGACATTGGAACCATCGGGGACAGCCCGGGCTCAAACAGTCCTGACAGACCTGGGGACATTGGGGACAGGGGGGACATTGGAACCATCGGGGACAGCCCGGGCTCAAACAGTCCTGACAGACCTGGGGACATTGGGGACAGGGGGGACATTGGAACCATCGGGGACAGCCCGGGCTCAAACAGTCCTGACAGACCTGGGGACATTGGGGACAGGGGGGACATTGGAACCATCGGGGACAGCCCGGGCTCAAACAGTCCTGACAGACCTGGGGACATTGGGGACAGGGGGGACATTGGAACCATCGGGGACAGCCCGGGCTCAAACAGTCCTGACAGACCTGGGGACATCAGGGACAGCTTGGGGACATCGGGGACAACGGGGGGACAGTGGGGACAGCACAGGGACAGCGTGGGGACACTGGGAGAGTTTGGGGACAGTGTGGGGACAGCGGGACAGTGTGGGGACAGCATGGGGACAGCTTGGGGACAGTGGGGATGGCTTGGGGACAGCGTGGGGACATTGGGATGATTGGGGACAGTGTGGGGACATCGGGACAGCTCAGGGACAGCAGGATGGGTTGGGGACACCGTGGGGACAGCTTGGGGACACCACAATGGGTTGGGGACAGTGTGGGGACAGCTTGGGGCCATCAGGACAGCTTGGGGACAGCTTGGGGACACTGCGGGGATACCGTGGGGACAGCATGGGGACACCGGGACGGATTGGGGACAGAGAGGGGACAGCTTGGGGACAACATGGGGACACCGGGGGGACACCAGGATGGATTGGGGACAGCTCAGGGACACGGCCACAGCTCGGGGATGGCACAGACACGCCTTGGGGACACCTTGGGGACACCCTGGGGACACCCTGGGGATGTGTGGCGGTGACACAGAGAGAAAAGAGCCATGGGGACTTTGGGGTCGCGGTGACAAAGGGACAGCAGGGTGAGGTACGGCAAGGGGAGGGTGACAAAGGTGACACGGGGACAAAGGGGTGACAGTGGGGGGGTCAGGGTGACATGGGGACAAAGGGGTGACAGTGGGGGGGTCAGGGTGACACAGGGACAAAGGGGTGACACGATGGGGTCAGGGTGACACGGGGACAAAGGGGTGACAGTGGGGGGGTCAGGGTGACACGGGGACAAAGGGGTGACAGGGACACAGGGGTGGGCTGGGATTGCAAGGTGGGTGCGAGAGAAATGGGGGAAAAGGAGGAGAAAAGAGTGGAAAACGTGAGGGGAGAAAAGAGCGGGAAACGTGAGGGGAGAAAAGAGCGGGAAACGTGAGGGGAGAAAGCAGGAAAAGGTGAGGGGAAACAAGACGGGAATCGTGAGAGGAGAAAAGGGTGGAAAATGTGAAGGAAAAAGGGTGGAAAATGTGAGGTAAAAAGGGTAGAAAATACGAGGGGAGAAAAGAGCGGGAAAACGTGAGGGGAGAAAAAGAGCGGGAAACGTGAGGGGAGAAAAGAGCGGGAAACGTGAGGGGAGAAAAAGGACAGGAAACGTGAGGGGAGAAAGCAGGAAAAGGGTGAGGGGAAACAAGACGGGAATCGTGAGGGGAGAAAAAAGCAGGAAATGTGAAGGGAAAGGGGTGGAAATGTGAGGTGAAAAGAGTAGAAAACGTGAGGGGAAAAAAGGGTGGGAAATGTGAGGGGAAAAGACTGAAAAATGTGAGGGGAAAAGGGTGGGAAATGTGAGGTGAAAAGAGTAGAAAACATGACGGGAAAAGAACAGAAAATGTGAGAGGAGAAAAGGGTGGGAAACGTGAGGGAAAAAGGGCAGCAAATGTGAGGGGAAAAGGATGGGAAATGTGAGGGGAAAAGAGTGGAAATGTGAGGGGAAAAGAGTGGGAAATGTGAGGGGAAGAGGTTGGAAATGTGAGGGGAAAAGAGTGGAAAACATGACGGGAAAAGAACAGAAAATGTGAGGGGAAAAGGGTGGGAAATATGAGGGGAAAAGAGAGGGAAATGCGAAGAGGAAAGGATGGGACGTGACGGAAGAAGGGCGGGAAACGTGAGGGGAGAAAAGCGGCAAACGTGAAGCAAAAAAGGTGGAAAAGGTGAGGGGAAACAAGACAGGAATGGTGAGAGGAGAAAAGAGCAGGAAATGTGAAGGGAAAAGGGTGAAAACATGAGATGAAAGGAGAGGGAAATGTGAGGGGAGAAAAGGGTGGGAATGATGAGGGGAGAAAAGGGTGGAAAATGGGAAGGGAAAAAGGTGGAAATGTGAGGTAAAAAGGGCAGGAAACGTGAGGGGAGAAAAAGGTGGAAAATGTGATGTAAAAAGGGTAGGAAATGTGAGGGAAAAAGGGAAGGGAAAACATGAGATGGAAAAGAGCGGGAAAACGTGAGGGGAGAAAAGGGCGGGAAACACGAGGGGAAAAGGGCAGCAAATGTGAGGGAAAAAGAGTGAAAAATGTGAGGGGAAAAGAGTGGAAATGTGGGGTGAAAAGAGTAGAAAATGTGAGGGGAAAAGAGGGGAAAATGTGAGGGGAAAAGG